TATTTTTTAGTTTTTTTTTTTAAATTTCCTATATGATCTATAGTACAAAATGCAATAATTATTTACAAAAATAAAACCATTATATGTCTTAATTTGAAGATAGTGATTGGAATGTGATGGAAATTCTGTTGATAGAAAAACCACAAACGTTGTATATAAAGAATTGTTTAACAATATTTAGTTATTCTTTCTTAGAACATTTTTTCATTGATTATATTAGGATTTTTACTATTGTTTATATCTTTTTATTATTTTTTGTTTTATTATATTGCTTTCCGTGCAAATGCACGGGTTAAAAAGTAGTTAAAAATAAAGCTGGAAGAAGAGTCAACGAAATGTGATATCATTTATTTCTCATAGCTTTTATCCCAAAGCGAATAATTATTGTCAAAAGCTATGTTTATTTATACTCATATAAGGATAACTCATCACATTATTATTAATCAAAATTACAATTATTGAGAGTCCGAGTTTAAGCAGCATTAACAGCTATCTTCATTCCATAGTAACAATGTCCCCAATACCCACAAATGAAATAATTAGGCCCTTTTTTGAGCGTTATCTTATCATTACCAGAAGTATACCTCTTGCCCTTTGCTGGCCAGGTGCAAGAATCATAACTCGACTTATCCACAACTACAACATCGTGAGATCTTGTGCTTGTGCCATACTTGAAAACTGAATTTAGAGATTTTTTAGTCAATTAGTGAATCAAAAGTTACATAAGTGGTCAACTAATATAAACAAATATTAACTATAAAAAAATGAAAAATATTAATNATTGAAGTTGTGTGCATTAGTAGATATTATTAAGTTCTCTAAAAAAGTAATGTAGCTTAGGACCCCAATAATTATAAAAATAAAAGTTAGTTAATTTGCAATTATAATAAAAAGCTTAGATCATATGAAAATAAAACGAAATTTGTAGATGAACGACTTAATTTTTTTTTTCTTGATATTACCTAGAATGTCACCAGCCTTGAAGCTCTTGTCATTTTCCCAGCCAGATACATTTTTGCTCCAGCCCTTAGAGTCTCCAACAATATAAATTCTTGAGTGGGCCGGGCTCCAATGAAGCAACACACACAACAACAATACTACTTTCAATATCAGTGCATTTACTTTTACTGCAGTCATCTTGTGACTTGTGAAAGTTTATCTACTGTTTTTCCTTCACAAGCTTATATGTCTTCCGGACGAGAGCAATCACCCTTATATAAGCCCATATTAGCTAGATTATGAAAATCGTTAGTAGCTTGTTAATTGTTGTGATTTCATCTTGTGTTGCTAGATATATAGGTAATGATATTATGAGTAGACAAATACCAATCATATATACACAAATTTTGGACATGTATCAGATTGTAATTATGTAAGTTTAGATTATAATGTAGGAATGTTCGATTTTTAGACAAAAATTCTTTTACTACTAAACCATTAGAAGAATTGACTTTTCATACTTTTTTTTAACAAATATGCATACTTATTTTATAAAACGGCGTATTTTTGTTTATATTGATTTTTTGGAGTATAACATTTTATTTTAAAAGTATATATATCAATTGAAAAATTGTGATTGTCTAATAATATTTTTATTGTTTTCCCGAAAAATTATATGTATATTATTTTTAAAAAAAAATTACATGTACTTTTCGTACAAGTTGAGATGGTATTTAATATATATATATATTTAATATATATAACTAGTACTTAGCCCGTGCGATGTACGGGGCAATAATTATAAATTGCATTAATTAAAGATTTGTTATGATACTGTAAGTCGCAATATGAATTTTAAAAAAGTTGGTTTGATGAAGTTATTGATAAAATCAAAGGATATTTTTGACATCCTTGAATAGATGATGTTTGGTATATAGCTCGTTACGAAATGAATTTAAAATCGTGGGAATTTGTTATTAATGTCAAGATATCAATTCTATTACAGTATTGTGGTAGTTATATCAATAAATTTTTTGCAATTGATTTCTAAATTTATTTTGTACTTATATTTTGCAATGTTCTCACGTTTGTACTAATATTTTGCAATGTTCTCATGCTTATTTCAATTTACATATAGTTGAATACCCAACAAAATAGGAGAACACATGATTCATTGTTAAGGATAAAGAATGATTTGTTATTAAAGATAAATAGTTAAATTTCTTTTGATATTTTGAAAAATTGGATTTATAATTTTTGAAAAACTTAAATGGTTGAGGTATTGATAAATCAAAGGATTCAAAACTAATCCTCTTGATTCAATGATTTTTGAAGATATGATAAAATTATTTTGGTATATGACTTGTTATCAAATGAATAGAAAATTACTGTGAATTGTTATTAATTATGATAAATAAGATTTTATTGTAACATAAAATTTTTATAATTTAATTTTAATTTTTATGTTATAATTATATTTATAATTTTATCGTGCATATTCAAGCAATATTTTCTAAAAACAAAATACATTTAACAGACGTTTTTAAGACATGTTGTATGGTTGGTTAGTAAAAGAATACGAAATTGTAGTTATTTGTAATTAATATGAAGAATCGAATTTTTATTGGGATAATTATCACAAAATAATTTTGAAAATTTATACCACTTTATTTATATAGAAAGTTGTGATGTTAAATGGATTGCACAATTTACAACATGTATGTATAATTTAATTTTCATTTCTTTTATAAGTATTAAATTAATTTTTACTATATTTCTTTTAATACTAAGTCAACTTAATTAATTACAAAGTCAAAGTTACTATTTTATATTATTCCATCAGTATCTTTCATTATATGTAGATAGATGTAGCAAATATTATAACAAACCCTTAATTTGAAAATATTGTAATATATATTATTTTGAAGTTAAAAAATATAATTAATTTTTAATTACTTCATTATTTTTTTTCTTATAATTTACAATATAATAAATATTTTTTTTTTTCTAATCTATTAATTTTTTTTTTTTCTAATCTATTAATTTATATGAAATTTTTTATGATATCGTGAATCGCATAATGATTTTTAAACAATTGATTTGATGCATTTATTGATAATATCCAATGACATTTTTGAACTCTTTTAATAAATGATTTTTGGTATGGCTCGTTACGAAATGAATAGAAAATCATATTGATTTGTTATTAATGTTGAGGCATCAATTCTATTATAGTATTGTGGTACTTATGTTGATAAGATTTTTGCAATTGATTTCTAAATTTATTTTATACTTATAATTTTGCAATGTCCTCACACATATTTTGGTCTACATATCGTTGGATACCTAACAAAATAGGAAAACTCATGATTTGTTATTAAGGATAAACACAAGTTTGTTATTAAAGATAAATAGTTAAATTACTTTTCATATTTTAGTAAATTGGGTTTATAATTTTTGAAAAAACTGAAACAATTGAATTATTGATAAATCAAAGGATTTTAAACTAACCCACTGGATTCAATGATTTTTAATATACAATATATATATANGGTTGGAGCGGCCGAGCTGGGAAGCCGCTTGTCCCCTTACTCCCCTTGCTCGATTTCCGAGATTTGGGGGAGGCCGACGGTCCCCGGAGTAGGCTAGTGGTGTTAGGCTGCCTCGGTTGGGTGTCGGATCGGCTAGTGGTGTTAGTCGGTGGGGTGGTGTGCGTGGTTTTCTGCGGTTGGAGAAAGGGTCGTGTTCTCGGTTTGTTTTGCGACTTCGGTCATCGTCTTGCTAGGCCTTAAGCAGTGGTGGGCGTGGTATCGGAGTTTTGGAGCTCTCCTCGGAACCGACTTTGTCTGCTGACCTTTTCGGATGTACCTGCTGCGGGAGGTTGTTATGTTCGTGTGTAGTTGTTGTAGGTTTCTTTGTTGCTTGCTGTGGTAGGATCGTGTTTTGGTTTGGGCTCTTTGCCTTGGTGTTCTATTTTGTCTTTTAGGTTTGGGCCGTTGGCCTCGGTGCTCCCGAGTGTCATTTTCATTACTCTGTTGGAGTCCGACACTCGGGAATTGCCTTGTTGGGGCCTTTGTGTTATTAGTTGGTGTTTTTTATTTTTAGTGTTCTTGAGTATTACCCCGTTGGGGTCGGTTCTAGGCAGGCTTTTGTCCTGTTCTCCCAGTCTTAGCTATTGGCTGCTGTATTCAGCTGTTGGCTGGTTGTAGTCAGCTGGTGGCTGTTTTCTGCACATTTGTGCGTTATATATAATATCTCTATCGTTNATCAGTCTACTAATCTCCTGCAGGACTAGAGCTAGTGAGAGAAAATCCCAAAATCCCCAAATTCTAAAGGTTCAATCCCCGTCGAATTGAGTCGCCTTCCTCGGCAAAAGGGCGGCGCCGGCCGGCGGACGACCTCAACCGTCACCCCGCCTCTGTGTCCCGGTCATTCAGCGCTTCGCGGCTTGCCTTTGGAATCGGACTGGTTCGGCCTTGGTTCGCCGGTCTAGTGGCAGCGTTAGGAGGCGGCGAGCCCGTGGTCGTCGTTCGGCTTGCAGGTGACCGCCGGCCTTCGATTGGAGGTGAGTATGCTGTCCTTTTCCCCCGTTCCTGTTTCGATTTCTGATCTTATGCGAGAATGGAGGGCCAACGGAGGGCCATCTCGAGCGGTCCTGTTTTCGGCAGATCTCCGTTCGGGGTTGACGAGTCCGGTCGCCGGTGGTCTGCGGTTCTATTGGCTGGGTCGTGGGTTGAGAGGCGGGGTGGGGCTCTGACGGGAGTCGGACCTGAGGGCCCGAACAGTCCCCCGTTTGGTCTAGTGGTGTTAGCCGGCGGAAATCTGGTGCTCCGATGCTCGGCTAGTGGTGTTAGGCGTGCTCGGGAGATGCTAGAGTGGGTGCGTGTTTGGTTGTCCTTTCGGTTGAGGCGGGTCGTTTTGGAGTGTGATTTGTGTTCGGGCTCGACTTCTTGTATAGGCCTTGTGGCAGTTTCGGGAGCCGTCCCTGGACTTAGATTATTCTCTGATATAGACTGTCCTCCGCTGGTTCGAGCTGACCGAATTGCTGTGGAAGGGCTTGTTAATATAGCTGTGTTTTCATTTTCTAGTTTTGTTGTAGATTGGTATGTTGTTCTAGTGTGTTAGTTTCTGTGTTTGTGTTTGTCGTTGTGTTTTAGGTCTGGGCCGTTGGCCTCTGTGTACCCGAGTGTCATTTTCATTACTCTGTTGGGGTCCGACACTCGGGAATTACCCTGTTGGGGTCTTGTGTTGTTTTTTTTGTCGTTGTTTTGTGTGTTTGTTTTGAGTGTGTTGCCGAGTATTCTAGCTTTGCTAGTTTTCGGATCTAGGCGGTCTTCGGACCTGTCCTCCCAGTTTTCTCAGTCGTCGGTTGTATTATTCAGCTAGTGGCTGTACCTTTGCACATTTGTGCGTTTATATATAAATCCTCTATCGTTTCGACCAAAAAAAAAGATTTGAGTATTCCAATGTAAACTTGGGATATACTCGTTCTTCTTTTAAATGTACATAATAAAAAAAAGTTTTGGATTATGAAAATCCCTAATAGTTTATCTTCTTATTTTTTTTAATCCAATTT